GGTCATTGCTTGGCAAATGAAGTATGGCTTTAAGCGGTCATGTTGAATTGGAGAGGTTCCAACGCTATGGTACGCGATTTTCATTCAAAACACCTGGGGCGTAAATCTGGTGTACATTAGGTGACCACCAATGCTAGCGTATTTTAATTTTGGTGAGCGAACACTCAGCTTCTTCGCAAAGAGTTTGGTCACCATCTTGAATTATTAAAGCAAAGGAGGTTGGGCGAGAAAATTTTATACCAAGGGGTGGTTGATGGGCGAGAAAGTAGAAGAAGGAGTAGATCAGGAAAGAAAAATTCGCATGTCTTCACCGTCGAGCTCGACCCGCCTACTCCGACTCTAAATTAAAGATAGCGCCTCGGTGAACAATTGCAAGTCAAAAACCCTCTCGCTCCCAATTAAGACGCCTACACTGCAAGCCAAATACCACCATAGACAAACTCACCCACCCTCTATTGTAAAAGTTTTAAAACGAAGCAACGGCTGACGGCATGAAACTGGGGGGAACAGGAGTTAGATGGAGGAGAGAAAGCTTTTAACTCTCGCAATCAAGTATCATTTTTAGAACGCTGTATGGTTGGTGTGATATCATATAATTATGACTTTACCAACTTTATAAAATGTTGATGTAGATGTTGATAATAAATGGTAAGAAATGTGATTATCTGATAAAAATGCGTCCGAAACTTGGCAACGCTATCGCGATATAACCATCCCAGACGGCCCATTGATCTAATATCGTCAAGCTTCACGATCAGAACTTTTAACTCACCTCCAGTATAAGCAACCTTCTGTCATCTCTGTCTTGTTCGAATTCTACCTCTTTCATGTCGTAGTGCCTGATGTCATTTCGCATTTGAATTTCTTCTAATTGGAGAAGGAGCCGAAACTTTTCCTTGTAGGTGTCAAACGTTAGCGGTTTTTCTAGCCTTTCCCTGAAGTTTAAGAAAAGCTTTAACTAAGCTCTAAGTTCAGATGCAAAAAGTGAATGATTAACTGAATGACTAGTTGAATGGACGAACTAATTAATGATGTCACGATATGGAAAGACGTGACCAATTGGCTGAGTCATGTCCCTCTTACCCAACTACTTGTTTTATGGATGTTTCATTTTCTAATGGCTCGTGAGCGTACACTACAACAAATTAAAAAAATCACTTTTGGGGAGCAGAGATTTTCAATGTCCACCACACTTTTAGATGTATATAATAATAAATGTAGGAATGGAATATGCTAATAAAACGTTTTTACCTGATTCCCTTTCGATCTTGTTGAGCAATGACGGTAGGAGGAATGTCATAACGTTCCAACTTCTCCATAACAAGGCAATCTCGCTTCAGCCTAAAATAAACAGAAATAACAGATTACTCAGTTCGAAGGGTTTCATCGATGAGAAGTTTGATAAACCTCTGATGCCAGGTCAGTACTAATCAGTGAAGTGTTGGACAAACAAAGGTAGCAAACCTGCTGACAATGATCTTCAAAGCTTGATGGAAAGTGCATTTGACCGATAGGCAACTTTCCACAAGCTTTTAATTATCGTTGGTTAGCCATCGTGGTAAATAACACTTTCAGCCGCGGAATTCCATCCAGTCACAGCTGAGCATCACAGCATGTAGATGACGCGTACTCAGTCGACCTCATCGCCTGAAGAAGACTAACAGGATGCAGTCGAAACGTCGCGATCCACATCCAAAGTGACCACATCGTGAGACAAACGATTACAAAGCTTTGAATTACTAGAACACTTTACTTACGGAGGGAGTTTCAGGCCTGGTGTAGTTTCGACGTCAAGTGGAACTTTAAATGCTCTGCGAGGGGCTTTATATGGTGCTGTCGGCTTCAGGGCATCATGCAGGTCGCTGACAATGTGTACGGCTAAAAATCTCAAAATGTGGAATTTCGAACCATTCTTCTCTTCGAATATGAACACAACTGGTACATATGAATAGCCATATTCGCGTCGATTTTTGAAACCAATTGTGAATGAAGTCTGTCCACCTACAAACGAAATAGAGAGCTCATACAATAATCAGGTCAATTCCACGCTCCCTTCTTCACTTTTGCTACCACTATTTGTGATCTCAGCCAAAGAATATCAGGCAACTTCTCAGGTTATGATCTATTTGTTAAGGACCGGTCATAATTTTTCACCTGGTGGTGATTTTTGGTTGTGTAACGATAGCTGATCCCCAAAAGGCTCTGTAATATTCTTATGATCCTCCCTTATTGGCGGTTAATTGGGATTAAATTCTCATCACTTACCTGGTCGATATTGTATTGATATTGTAAGGAGAAATTCTAGTCACTCAAAGGAGTTAAAGGGTTAAGGTTGTTGTTTCCTAGAAGTCACTTTTATTGTTCACTTTATATATTTGTCAATTAACTTAAACCATGGTTATAGATCTTTTTCTAAAGCACGAATTGACCTACACTTGACAATGACATCCTGGATATGTCGAAACGTTGCATACTGTTGACTTGTCGCTCGTACTAGCATCGATCATGCAAATATGCTTAAGTTAAGTGCTATCTATCGTTGACAGGACATTAGCAAGTATCCGTTTTTAACTCCTTATATAATACACTGAGTTTTAACGGCTGCGATATCAAAGGGTCTTATCAGAGCTGTATTATAACCAATCAGAGTATATGAATTAATTCACCTGCTGGTGGAAAACAAGGGTGTACAGCGTTTAGACTGGCCATTATGTTTTTCTTCCAATTTAATAATTTTAATAATAAAATTTAATAATACATAATTTACGATAAACGAAGGTTACCTGCGCTAAGAGTTTCCCCGTTTAACCCAATTCTTGAGAAGTCTGAGCAGTTAAAGAAATCCACCTTCCATAAAAGAGTTATGCCCTCCAATTCAACTTCCTCGGTTCCAATGTTTTCCACTATCAAAGTAATTTGTTCTTTCTTGTTTCTTTGAACCTTTGATTCAATGACACCATTTTCGTTACCTGGTGGCACAGAGGTGACCATTATTCCTTTTTTATTCTTAACAAGGTCTGGCCTGTTGAGTAAAAACAAAGCAAACTAATTTGTCACTGTTTTGCATGATAAAGCCTACACGCACGATTGGGTTCGACTCAGGAATGATAATATCAGCAAAAATTAATCATATTTTGCATTGTATATTTGGCACCATTCAAGGTTCTTCATCGTGGAGCTTAAGGACTGGGATGGGTTTATAAGTGTTGGTAAATTACAGAGTTTAGTAACGGATTAATGATAACTGGTTTTGCAATTTCATATACTTTTATTATGATCTGTTCATATGATTCTGTTTCATTCCCGCTTTCTATTCAAAGACTGCATGCTTAGGAGTGTATATCAAAGGTTAGTTTGGAAATGTGAGGATCGTAAATGTTCCTAACTTACTTTTCTACTGATTGTCGAATCGTTCGCAAGACACTCTGCTGACGGTGACTGCCCGATGCCAAATGATTTTTGAGGAGAGCATCAGTTTGAAAATCTATCTTGCAAGTCGTGCAGCGAAGGTTCGCCTCCATGTCATCTCTCCCTTCCTCTTCGGAAGTTGATTCGTCGGAATCGAGCATTCGAATTGCTGCAGTCTCTCCGTCGCCAAAAATTACGCGACCTCGGACTACCTGACACAGATTCAGGCGAACCTTGATTGTGGAAAGTACTCTCGAGAAACAAACACTCAACTCATTGCTCGAAGGGCGAAATCGTGACTCATATATTTCCTTCAAATCGGACTTAGCCATTTCGTGCTTTAAGTCATTTTCCTCAAGGAATCGAATGAAGGATTTCGCCACACTTGTCACCAAAGCTTGCTTCGTTCTCCTTCCTCGCCCCATCCTGGTTGAATTTCAACGTACCACTGCAATAAATAATATATCAAGAAAACATGGGCTTTATGAATGAACTGAATCCTCATGGATGAACTAAATGCTTTTAGTTCGATCAATGTTGACACGTTTGGGCACTTTTGGAGGAAAAACCTATAAGATATGAAAAACGTCCAAATAATCCCTATTTCTTTCAAAACATTTTCTCGCTGAAATAGCTCTAGATCTACATTAAGTGCAAGCTCGTTATGTCCAACCATACTTCCGCCTTTGATTGCTGAGTGACTAATACCTTCGACTGAATCAGTATTTCCGGTTAATTTCCCGAAACAATTAGGTTTATTCTAATTCTGTTGGATATTTCATCATACCAAGTAAAATCCTCGCAAATTTCAAGCTAGGTAAGCACGCAGGAATTGAAAATGTATAAGAAAACAAATGAATTGCGACGACGATAAAATCATCTATCGTCACGGCGGTATTCAATGTGCGTTTATAAGTATATGCGAGTCTTAACGCAGGAAAGCCCAGAGTTAAATCAGAAATGTTTGTATCAAGTTCTCTAGCTGTTCTGTAAACACATTCTGTTATCTTTGAAGAAGAAAACTAACGACAAACAACTGATTCTCGAAAATTTGTTCGACGAGTAATTTCTTCGTTTACCATCTAATAAACAAGCATTATGTTTTCATCTGTTAAAGCGATAAATAATTCAACCAAATGTAGACAATAGGGAAAAATGCTATTCTTAAGGAGGAAGAAGCAGCGACCTCTATCAGCGGTTCAATTTATCTCTTCTGCTATGGCTGTGAAACGAGTCGTATCAGTTTTACTTCACCGGAACATTGGTTGATGTCAAATTGTTCCTGTGTACTTTTACTTCCGAAACATATACTCATGAGGGTAGTTTATTTTGAATCTTACCTTAAATGTCACTCTCAAGCTCCTGAAGCCTCAGTTATACCAGGAAAAGGAAAATGAAAGAGTTCCTAAATCGAGCTGAATCGATTCGCAGCCCATCATGAAACCTCCTAGCCTCGACGCAGAGAAAAAAAAAAGAGAGATTCTTGGGAAATAACACTTACCATGATCGCGTGACTTCAAGCAGTGGCAGTCCCAGTCTTTTTCGCAGATTCCCTCTGGAATGTCATGCAAGGTTACTCCAGGAGAGGCTTACCCCCCCCCCCCCCCCCCCCCCCCCCCCCCCCCCCCCCCCCCCCCACAAACCATGAAAGCCTGGCGCAGCGATTTGATTAAGAGCCTTTAATATTTGTTTAAAATAGGTGCTTCTCTGTGATTATGTGTACTTTCTATACAATGAAATGCGCTGTCTTTTTTCTGTTGTATGAATTTCCTAGGATCGTGCAACTGTTCTCTACAAGATGAAACATCACTAGTAAAAGTCGGATAGTTTGTTGTCTTTATTACAGCACAGTCCATGTGAAGGTAATTTAGTACTATCAACAAAGTTGATAACGTAAATTGGCCACCGTTACGAGTTTAAAAGCTGACATTTTGAGTGTTAGCCCTTCATTTGAGCGAATGACGAAGGACTAACGCTCGAAACTTCAGCTTTGAAAATCCTTACGGTGGCCAATTTACCTTATAAACTCAGTTGATAATAGGATATTACCTTGTTTTACTCTCCCACCGACGCAGCACCACAGTTTCTTTAGAAACTCACCCCCTTAATTCATAAAGCTACGTGAAATCGAGTTCTAAAATATTTTTTTGGCAAGCCCAAATTAAAAAAGGAGAAATAAGCCTTAGTGAGATTTAACTTTAGGTGATGGGCCTTTAGGATTTCAAAATAGATGAAAAGTTATTGTAAGATTATCATTGTGATAATCGCTCATCGTTATCAGGCAGAAATCCACGGAAATACGAAATAAATTACCCAACGGTTAACCAGCAAAGTCATCTACAGAAATGTTGCAGCAATATTGCACAGCAATATTTTACTGTTTGACGAGTATAAAAGTATTATGGTTTATATTGATAAACAACTAGCGGGAATATGTGACCCAATGTCGCTCGTGACGGCAAGAAGCAACAATATTTATTATCAATGATAATTAATTAATAATTAATAATTAATAATATTAATAATACTTATTAAGGAGAAACTTTGGAAAATAGCCCGATGAAAATAGCCCGATGAAAATAGCCCGATGAAATAAGTGACTGCATCACTTTTAGAACTCCTATATCTTCTTACAACGCGCTTACTTCCTAAGTTGTTAGAGCTTCCAAACGATTAAAGTTGATTATTATCAATGAGACAAAAGCTAAACACACCTTGTCAAAAGTCAGCTGTGTTAGATCACAGCAGCACAGAAAATAATTAAACAAGCCAACATAAGAATAGGGTGTAACTCAAAGATCACTTCCGTTCTTAAAAAATAAACTGAGAGCTATGGACGTTACGCGGTTTACAAGCCAAAAAATTTAAGCAAGTAAAACAGTGAAAAAATGTCAAAACAGTGACACATGGAATTTGCACACGGATTTACACAACCTCAGCACTTAAGTTTCTAATTTAAACCGTACGACTATATCCCGCTAGCGTAAAGCTTATAGAGACAAGTGTTGGCAATTTTGTTAGTTTAACGTGCAGGAAAATAAAGAATTCTGTTTAAATTACTGAGTTAATTTCTTAACTGGAGATAGCCTTGTCACTGTAAGTGTGACAAGGCATTTTTCATAAGTACAAATCCTAAGCTAAAAAATTTAACACCGACAGTACAAGCAAAAAGGCCTCGAAGATAAGTTTTAAAAAAAATCCTTTTTAGATGATAAAATTCCAGCGCAGCTGGAGACTGGAACAGAGACATTTACTCGTGCCTAGTCCACTCTGGGTGTTCTAGAAGCTGACGCTGGCTAATTTCTGAGCTGTCTTCATCGTATTCTAAAAAAAATTATATGTTACGGTAATTAGAATGAGAGGCAAAACGTACAACATTGCTCATGCTTGTTAAATTTATGCACCAAATTGACCTTGTTCACCGTTTTGTTTTTGTAACGACTGACACCTTTATTAGAGTATCAACAACTATTCACCAAGGTGAAGGTGGCTAGTGGTCGATATTCGTTATAATAAAGTTTAACGAATAGAGAACGAAACTGACAGATGAAAACACGATAAGTGGTAAATTAGTGTATCTATTTCTTCTTTACAGCGAGAGTAAATCAGTTCCGCTGTTCACCTAAAGCGGCTGCGGGGAAGAGTTTGAGTCTTTTTCAAGTGTCTGCAATATCTTCCATCTTTTCTTTCCTTTCCACGTCAACAGTAGCTTTGTTTTTTCGACAATAATCTACAAAACTAGAAAAAAAGAGTTAAATAAGATTTTTCTCCAGTAGTAGAGAGCACAGAACCTATAAAGTTTAAAATAGCAAAGGTTATGAGTTAACCACGTTGTATCTGGCACATTCTTTTATTTTCTAACAGTTGTTATGAATGTAATCTGTTCTACGCACGTTTTCCAGTTCTCGTCCAAGCAGAGCATGTCCGGATTCCCCATGAGAATCAAGAAAGCCTGAGCACGAGTTATGGCCACGTTGAATCTCTGGGGGATAAGAGTAAAAATGTTACTTAGGATAAAGTTCGTTAGATAATCCACAGGGATGTGCAATACCGGAGTCTCCCTTTAAATCCATGTGTTTCGGCGATAAATTCTACAACTATTACAAAATTCGAAAACGGAAACACAGCGACTAAACGTACAGTTTTTCTGTCCGAACTCTGCGACTGAAAGACACTAACCAACTGACACGACCGATTCGAATATCAATTAGTTAAGTCTTAACTTCTAGGTGCAGTGTTTTGTTCGGCCGTCCCAACGGACGGCGTTAATGTTAATGAACAAGCGTTCGCCGAAACACCATGAACTACTTTTTCATCCCTACCCGAGTTTCTCTGGGCATGACACGAATGTTTTGCCCTTAGTTAGGGAAAATATCAGAATTACAAACCTTAGGATTCGATGGCTAAAGAAGAAGTATAAGAATCGTAAAAGTCATTAAATCAACCGTTTCTTACCCTTCAAAGGAATTCTTAACCTTTTTGAAAATGTAATTAGTCATTATTTCCACCATTTTCAATTTACTAACTTTCCCTCAACCACGACTGAATCTTTATTCCTTGAAGTAACCGACAATAATAACAAAAATAATAACAATAAAAGGAATTACAATAATAAAAAACAAACAAACACATTAAAATAAATAAAAGCATATGGCGGGTTTAGTCAAACGCAAAGAATAACATTGGACCATACTTTGGGATTATCGAAGAATCCGAGGTGGAAGTCCTTGTCCATCTCCAGATATTCTTTCTTCGTACTCCTGACTGATGACAAGATGATTACTCTTCTTTCTTGTCCCTGAAAATCTTCCACGTTGCCAATTTTTGATTTCACCACCAAAGCGTCTTTTTTCAATCATTTTCTGGATCTTTTCCACCTTGTCATGAAAAGAGAATTTCAATTAGCGATAAGGACTGAAAGATAAACAGTCAATGATAAGATCTGCTGAGATGTTAGACAGACCAGGGTGGTCTGATCGCTAAAAAATATTGAGCGTCATTTGATGTGTATCAAGGCCTTTACCTTATAGTTAGAAGAATGAGCTCGGGCTACGAGGCCTGGTGACAACAACTGGATAATTAGTAACGCGAATGAGCAGGCATCCAATTCTTTTGGGAAACTTAATGAATCGGAATGCCGTTTAACAAGCTTTTATTATAAAAAATAATAGTAATAAAAATTTTAAAAAAAATCATAGAATGTACGTTATCGAATCGACTAACACTAGGAAAAATGGAAGATGGGTTCCAGTCTTGTACTTACTTGTCTTCCGTAAGGAGATATCACCCCAATCATCTCAGGTCTCAAGTGCATTAGTCCTCGCTCCTCACATTGTCGTCTAACAGTTTCCTCAGGTATCGCCCAATAGTCTCCACCTCAGCCATATTAAAGAAAGAAGGGCTGCTGCCTTCTCTCTCGTCCTTACCAAACACCGGATGGAAAATAATCGGGAAGTTCTTATTCGGAAGCTCTTCCCAGCCGAGCATCACATTTCTTGGAAAAAAATAGGTAAATGTCAACACTGCAATGTTTTACATTCCGGTTTGGTTGACGTAGGAAAGTAATGTCAAATAAAGCGCGAGTCATGTGTAGATTAGCATGCTTCTGGGCCTCAAGACAACTCTCCAACGAGTATCACCGCCTGTGTTACGGGCAGCTCGCAAATAAGGTATTGCCTACATTACATTTTGATGTAGCTAGTGTCTAAAAAACACGAGATACACGACATCAATAACCTGCTCTTCTAGGCTACTGACAGCAGTAGAAGCTTTGGAAGACGCCATGGTTATTATTGCCACGCTTCCCTTTACCAGTGATTAAATGTCAATCCCCTGAATACCACAGTCGGTGGAAATTCCAAAGGACTTTCATGTCTAACTTCATCTCATTGATAACTTTCGTATAAAGACGGAAGTTGCGCCTACAGATCCAAAGGGCTATCTGTTCAGCGGTTCGAAAGCTGAAGGCTCAAAGCAAAGCTTGTAAGTAGGTCATGTATGGGGAATTATTATGGACATTACTGTATGAATGTAAAGTATAGGACATAATATGTATTGAGTAGATAATAATTCCCCATACATGACCTACCTAGGTGAAAGCTTGGTACCCAAAAGATGTCCTTGAACCGTTGTAATGTTCGCTCTGGCGTAGACGTTTGATTCCTGTATTTGGTTACTTTTTTTTCAATTTATGTGACAGATCAGTCTCTCTTCTCCGTAATAAAATCTAACTGAAGTTTTCAGATCCTCTTATCGTCTCATTCTCCGAAGATCCAAAGTCGCCTTTCAAATTATTGAACATGAAGGAATCATTGCGTCAATCATTATTTCTTCTATCGCGTTCAGTAGCCTTTTATTTTTTGACTTGAATTAAAGTCAATCCTTGATTTAAGCTTAATCGTATTTGGAGGGTCTCGGTCTCCAGTGGATGGTGTTATTTACCATTTAAACAACAGG